AGAGAGAGAGAGAGAGAAAGAAAGAAAGAAAGAAAGAAAGAAAGAAAGAAAGAAAGAAAGAAAGAAAGAAAGAAAATATGTGTGTGTGTGTGTGTGTGTGTGTGTGTGTGTGTGTGTGTGTGTGTGTGTATGCACAGGTGCCCACAGGGGATCCCCTGGAGGTGGAGTTATAGCTAGTGAGCAGCCTGATGCAGGTGCTGGGAATCAGCCTGGGATCTTCTGGAAGAGCAGTAAGTGCTTTAACAAAAGCTCAGCCACCTCTCCAGCCCCTTGCTTTATATAGTCAATTCTTATATAAAAACCTTTCCCCCAAATGCTTTTGCTAGAAAAACACAATCTGTACAGCATCCTTGCTGAAAATCAACGAGAAGCAGGTATTCAAACTGCTCTAGACTCTAGCCCTATTGTATCAGTAACTGGCATGGAGTAAAATACAGTGAAATCAAGGAGGGAAAAAAAACCCAGACGTTAAAAGGCATTTATATATGTGCTTGTTCTAATATAATGGATCTGTTTCCTGCAAAAGCTCATGGAAAAGATGTCCATTTTTAGGTGGTCCTACCTGCCACTGTTGCCATGGTTACATTTCCCTGTTGCAGGGCTGATGCTGGCACCACGATCCCCTGGGGGCTGAGAGTGCCTGTGATGGCGCTTTGAATCTGCTGGATGTCAGAACACACACATTGTGGGGATTATTAGAACACAGGAAAACATGTTCAAAACGTCTAAGGAAGCAGTATCATAATGTTGCAGTAAGGCAAGGCAGGCGGGGAACACACAGCAGACTCAGTCGACGGGTTTTCAGAAAGCAAGAGTGTGTGGCTTTCCTCTTGCTGTCCAAGCCCAGGAGGTACTTTCAGACCACAACTGTCTCCTAGGTTTGGCTCAGGCTGACAGTTCTCCATAACCAGACCCTTCAGGACAGAATGAACACATTCACAGGCTTAGAGGCACCAGAAGAGACCAGAGACAAGAGAAGGAACTCTGCTCTCACACTTAGTCAGCAAGGGGTATTTCAGCCAATGCAATGAGGCAAGAGAAGGGAACCAATGCACAGAGGTCAGGAAGGGAGCAAACAGAGTTGTTCCCACTGGTGCAGGACACCGGGGAAAGTCAAGAACTAGGCAATGGACCAAATGAATACCTTACTTAGAAGGTCAGGTCATAGGCTATGAGAGCAAACACCAATGTCAGAGGGGCTCTGAGGGGCAGGGAAGAAGGCTGAGGAAGTAACCAAGGGGTGAGCGCTACCAAAGCACCACACACACGTGCAGAGTCAAAATGCAATCCACTGCTTTCTACAGCTGACATCTGCTCACAAACACACACAGGCTTATCTGATTTTCTTCTGGATCTTTCTACAGGACATTAAAAATCAACTGCTTTTCTGTAGGCTAACAATGAACACAAAACCTACAAAGTACAATCCAGGGGCTGGAGAGACAGCTCAGCAGTTAAGAGCACATGGGGTTCTTACAGAGGACGGGTCTGGTTCCCAGGAACTACACGGCAGCTCACCAACTGTTGGAAACTCCGGTTCTAGGGAGTCTGATACCTTCTTCCGGCTACCTCAGGCACCAGACAAGGTACACATACATTGATGCATGCAAACTCTAATACATCTAAAAATAAATAAATCTTTAAAAACACAAGCCATTTACAGTCACTCAAAGATATACTTGTGTGTAATTTTGTTTTAGATAGGTTCTCACTGTGTAGCTCCTAGAACTCTCTATGTATACTAGGCTGACCTGACATGGAACTCACAGAGATCGGCCTGCCTTTGCCTTCTAAATGCTGGGATTAAAGGCGTGTGCCATTACATCTGGCTACTTGGATGTACTTCTAAAAGCACATGGATCACTATGCTGAAAACTACAAAACACTGAAGAAAAAGCCCTAAGAGATGTAAATAAAGGCAGAGATGTGGCATGTTTCTGGATTGAAGAGTCACACAGTAAAGATGTCAGTTCCCCTAAACTGACGTAGAGGGTACTGCAATGCTATCAATACCCACAGTGAGATTTGTTTTGTAGATCTACACTCCATCGTTGACAATTTATAAAGAAAGTCAAAGTAACTAGAAGAGAGTTAAAACAATCCTGAGAAATGATGAAATGGAGGAAAGCATCTCTTCAGTGCTGAGACTTGCCAGGTAGCTGTAGTATTCAAGGCCTGGTGGTACAGACACACAGACAATGGAACAGAACCCCAGACATCGAGGCTCCTCAAACATGCCCATCTGGCTTTTGACAAAAGGGGAAAAGCAGTTCAGTAGGAGCTGCTAACAACAGGTGCTGAAGCAGACGAAAAGCTGCAAACAATGAGAACTTCCAAAACTCAGAAACTTAAGAAAAAAAGTTAAGAAAAAAACGAGCAAAAGACACAGGCAGACTTTCCTAGCAAAGACAACACACAGATAGCAGCAGATCAGCACATAAAAGTATCATTTGCTAGAGAAAGAAAGAAAGAAAGATTCCTAGCAAAGACAACACACAGATAGCAGCAGATCAGCACATAAAAGTATCATTTGCTATCAGGGAAACACAAATAAAGTCCTCGATGAAATACCACCACACAGCATAATGGCTAACATACAACGGTGCCTCATCCCTGCCTAGGTTTAAGGACGTTCTGAGAAGTGAAATTAGTCAGATACCGGATGATTCTACTTCTGTGAGGATCCTAGAATCGTCAGTTCACAGAGATGGAAAGCAGAATGAGAGGGCCAGGGCCAGGGCCAGGGGAGAGTAGGACGAGTTAGTATTTAATTGGGAAGGTGGGAAAGTGAACGGCGGTGGTGATGGCGGCACACCAGTGACAAGGCACTTAATGCCACTGGACTTAAGAAATTGTTGTCATCAAGGCATCCAGCAATTCTGAAGGAGTCAATGCGTGATCAATACTACAGTGACCAAGAAGCACAATGGGCCCGAAGCAGGTACCTGGGACTGCACAGGGGAGTACGGGCTCCCGGGCTCCCCACTCAACAGGGTCTCGCTGTTCATTTTTGTCTTCAGACAAGCAATGTACCGACTGCAGAAATCTTTACAGAGTTCATTAACCTTTTCCAGTTCAAGAAGATGAATGCGCAGGACCTGGATTGCTTTCACCATCTAGAGGTAGAGAAAAGAAAGACCGTTAAGTGAGAAAAACGTGCCGTTCGTTATCAGAAATCATCATTATCACACACACTGCTCAGTTATTAGGTGGAAACGACAAGAGAAGTGGAGCAGCATTAGCAATTACACAGACAGACAACGTGTTCCAGCACTCCAGTCCTCTGCCCAGCCCGGCTGCACCTGTGACGGACACAGGAACAAGGTGCCTCCTTCAGCATGGCCCTCCTGGGAGTGTGCTCAATGCTTGCAGATGATGGGCTTACAGCCTCACTCTACTCCATCTCATCTCTACTCCATCCACACCTATCCTAGAGGCGGTTCTCAAAGTTCAACCCACCAGCTCTGCTTTTTCTGATCATACTTCTGGTGTCAAGTCCAAGAACTCTTTGCCTAGCTCTACATCCCCAAGTTCTTCTCCTATTATTTCTCTGTTGTTTAATAGGAAGTCACCAAGTGTTGAGCATACTTACTCTCTAGCAATGAGTCACTAATACCAACAGTGCCATGTCATTGGCATCCCCTGCCATGAACAAGGCCCAGACCCTCAGCCACAGGCTGGAGTATGAAGTCACCTACATTCTTGATGCTGTGAGAAACCAGTCAGTAACAAGAGCTATGGAGCATGAGCTCTGCTAGATTCTGGGCTTAGATGAGGTGGTACTGGCAGGGTGTAGAGGACACCTGTCCCCTCGACTGAGCCAGGCCAGGGACGGGCCAGGACCAAAAGCGCTTCTGATCCTTACTCAAAAGATAGGCATTTTAGAGACCACAGGGCCAAGTTGAACACAGCCATCTGTCAAAAGTATTAGAGCTAAGGCCGACGCAATTTTATCCGTGATGATGAAGACCCGCTGAAGGCTGGAGTCCTCCAGGTACTCACAAAACCCAGAGAACACACCTCGCTGTGGGGCTCTGAGGCCATGTGAATCTGGGAGAGGCTCCAGCTGGAAGGGCAGACAGTATGGGTGCCCTGACAAAGGACGCTGGCACTGCCTGTGTCCTCAAAGCCCTTGCTACTGGGTCGGACAGGAAGAAGGCACAGCGGCTGGGATCAGCACCGGGAGGGAGCTGCTTTGCTGGTGACTCAAGCCTGCTTCTAAGATTAGATCTGCACTCACAACACATGTGGGACAGACACCCTGTGGGACCGAGCAGCCTGCCCCAGCAAGTCTTTACAGACACCCATGAGAGGACTGAGCCCCCACCTCGGGAGGGAGCACAAATCAGTAAGATTGTTAAAGGGGAAACTAGTCAGAAACTAGAAGACTAGGAAGGTAAACGACGTGGGCAGGGTTTAAGTCACACACACACACAAAGAAGCAAAGCATGGACTCTACTCACTAAGTTGTCAGTTTCCGGATCTTCACAGAAGAAGGGCTTCCCATCCTTCTCCTGCTTCCTGACAAAGTTCTCAATGTCCACATCAAAGCTGGCAGACGTCGTGCCCTCAGAGCCCTGCGTGGACTGCTCACATTTCTCAAAGAGCAAAGCGAGTAATGGAAAGAGCGGATGCCTGCGGGGAAGAGAGGGAAGGTGTGCCACATCTCCCCAGGGAGGCTTTGGGATGCGTGCACCAATGAGCCTCCACCCTTTTTAGACAGGGAGCCATAACACGGGCTCCCTGTCTAAAAGTTACTCAAGTTACAGGTGTGCACATTGTCTGGCCTGTATGAATGATTTTTAAACAGTCCATTACTTGTTTACATACAAAGAACTTTTTTTTATTCCATGTATGCACACTATGTACACACCTGGTACCCATGGAGGTCAGAATAAGGCATCAGGTCTCCTGGGAACTGAAGCTGGGTCCTTTGGAAGAGCAGCCATGCTCTTCCACCCGGAGCCATCTCTCTTAATCCATCTGTTACTTGTTTTTAATTTGTTTTATATTGCATGGCTACTCTGAGTGGAAGTGTTTCATGAAGTATTTATTGTATTTATTTATTTATTTTTTTGTTTGTTTTCTGAGACAGGGTTTCTCTGTGTAGTCTTGGCTATCCTGGAACTCACTCTGTAAACCAGGCTGGCCTTGAACTCACAGAGATCTGCCTGTCTCTGCCTTCCATGTAATGGAATTAAAGGCTTCCGCCACTACCACCCAGCAAAATATTTTTAACTGGATTAATTTTAAGCTATGTGAAAATAATTTTTCAAAACTCGTGATCTTTTCATAATTTTTTTATCATTTGTTTGCTATTTGTTTTATGACAGAGGGTCTCACTACAGTCCTTGCTGGCCTCGTTCACACTCCTCTTGCCCCGCCAAGGTGCGAGATCACTGCATGTACCACCATGCCTGTATTTAAATTTTTATCTGTGAACTATCCAACTTAAAATAGACCGTTTTTGGTGCTTAGACTCTTATGTGTGTGTCTAGTCACATCAGGGCCCCAAACCTCCTCTTTTCCCCCTTTGGTGCACCATGCTGGAATCCCTAGCCCAGCAGGGGTCACCATCATCAAGTTTTCTTTTGGTGTTATGTAAAAGCAATCATACAAATGCAAGCCTTCTGAGAAGAGCTTCCTTCACTCAGCATGAGACAGCTGGGATTCACGTAAGAAGTTTCATGCAGCCAAATTCCTTCCTTTTAATGCTGAGTGGCATACACTGCATGGACCACTACTCTATGAGAAACATATAGGATGTTTCTAGTCTGACAATCCTGACTGAAGCTCCTAGTACACTGTGTACAGCTAATGTGCACCTACGTACCCGTGCAGAGTGCACTAACAGTCAAAAGGAGAAAGAACAGCTGGGCGGTGGTGGCACACCTTTGATCCTACCACTAGGGAGGCAGAGGCAGGCTGATCTCTATGAGTTCAAGGGCAGCTCCATCTACAAAGGGAGTTCCAGGCCAGGCCAGGACTATAAAGAGATATCCTGTCTCAAAAAAAAAAAAAAAAAAAAAAAAAAAAAAAAAAAATGCAGTAACCCAAATAGATAACTGTGGTATATACACAACAAAATTCTATTCAGCCGGGCTGGAGAGATGGCTCAGAGGTTAAGAGCACTGGTTGCTCTTTCAGAGGTCCTGAGTTCAATTCCCAGCAACCACATGGTGGCTCACAACTGTCTGTAATAAGATCTGGCGCCCTCTTCTGGCCTTCAGGCATACCTGCAGGCAGAACATTGTACACATAATTAAAAAAAATTCTATTTAGCCTCAAAAAGGAAGAAAGTCCCAGAAGATTGTATATTACAGATTCATGTTTAAAACATTTTATGTGAAAGAAGCCAGTCAAGAAAAGAAAACCAAGGAGATATCCTACAACTGAAGTGAGTCCTCACTACAGGACATGACCTCACTCAGGAGACACCTAGGTAGCTGAGGTCCAGACAGCAGGACATGACCTCACTCAGGAGTCACCTAGGTAGCTGAGGTCCAGACAGCAGGACATGACCTCACTCAGGAGACACCTAGGTAGCTGAGGTCCAGACAGCAGGACATGACCTCACTCAGGAGTCACCTAGGTAGCTGAGGTCTACAGAATAAAATGACAATTTCTAGAGCTGCACATGTGGAGGTCAGGGGACAACTGTGTAGAGTTCTCTCCACTTTCTGTGGGTTCCAGAAATCAAACTCAGGTCATCATGTTTTACATGGCAAGTGCTTTCCTTGCTGACCCATCTCAAGGCCCCCTTTCCCTTTGAGAGTCTTGTTATATAGCCCAGACTAGCCTGGAACTGGCTTTGAATTCTCTATCCCCAGTGCTGATATTCCAAGTGTGCACCACCATGCCTGGCCTGAAGACTTTTCTGAAAGGTTACCCAACATGTAGATTTATATTATAAAACCTTTTCTCTTCTTATTAGAAGTAACATCTCTGAAAAGGTTTCCCCAGGAGTTGCAATATCCCGATGGTACCTCCCCACTCAGACTAGACCCCAGCACTGGGCTCCACTTCACTGTTTGCATTCTCCCTGGTTCTCTGCGAACCACATATTCCACACCCTGGCACTACCTATAAATGGCCTGCTTGTCGGCATCCATTGGGGTTTGAGACTCCATGGGAGGAGGACTCACTCCTTCTGCATCCGGGTCAGAGCAGTTGGGATCTTGCTCTGTTTTTAACTCCGTTACCACCTGCATCTGTAAAAGGAGATATTTTGTTACAAAATACAAAACATAAAGGGCTACTTACCCTACAGCTGGAAGATTATATAACTGCCAATAGCAACACAAAGAATTCCAGCAGCAAAACTCCTTTGAATCTCTTAGCTGTCCTTAAGAAGAGGCCGCCCTGCCTCTGCCCATCCTGAGGGAGCACTAACCAGGTGTGTCCCACTCTCACTCCCCGCAGAGATCTGCCTGCCTCTGCCTCCTGAGTGCTGGGATGAAAGGCATGTGCCACTGTGTGGTATTATACAAAATAATCTTTTTAAAAAAACAAAAGATTTATTTACTTTATGTATATGAGTGCTCTATCTGCATGTACAACTTTATGCCAGAAGAGGGCATCAGATTCTATTATGGATGGTTGTGAGCCACCATGTGGTTGCTGGAAATTGAACTCAGGACCTCTGGAAGAGCAGCCAGTGCTCTTAACCTCTGAGCCATCTCTCCAGCCCCAAACTATTCTTTAAGAAGGTGATCAGATTGTATGTTTAAAAAAGCATTACAAGCCGGGTAGTGGTGGTGCACACCTTTAATCCCAGCACTCGGGAGGCAGACCCAGGTGGATTTCTGTGAGTTCGAGGCCAGCCTGGTCTACAGAGCGAGATCTAGGACAGCCAGCCACAAAAGCTACACAGAGAAACCTTGTCTCGGAAAAAGACAAAAAAAAAAAAAAAAATTTTAAAAAAAGCATTACAAGACTTATTTGAGTCTTCTTTGAAATGACTTTGAAGGAGGAACCCAAGTGTTCTACGTCAGGATGGTGTGACTGTCCACAAAGGGTCATGGAATGTCCCTTAAAGAGCATCAGGCCCTGCCACAGGAGGTTGCACTGCTCCTTCTGGTGTGGGGATACACACAGATGGTGGATAGAAGGCTAGTCTGAACAAAGACCTAGAGGACAAGAGGGGAAGAGTAACTGGAACAACCACAAGCAGAGCCTCGAGGTAAAGAGACACCTGAGTATGCCATGTCATGAGGTGCTGGATGCCTGGGAGTCCATGGGGCACGCAGGCACCGAGCTAGGGCAGTCTGGACATCGGGGCACGCAGGCACCGAGCTAGGGCAGCCTGGACATCGGGGCACACAGGCACAGAGCTAGGGCAGCCTGGACATCGGGGCACGCAGGCACAGAGCTAGGGCAGCCTGGACATCGGGGCACACAGGCACAGAGCTAGGGCAGCCTGGACATCAGGGCACGAAGGCACAGAGCTAGGGCAGCCTGGACATCGGGGCACGCAGGCACAGAGCTAGGGCAGCCTGGACCTTGCCTGACACCTATGGGGAGCCACTTCAGGGCTCAGGGAGAAGATATACTATTAGATTTGCATTTTAAGAAAAAAAGAAAAAGAATTACCCAGAGCTGGCTGTGTTGGCATATACCTATAATTTCAGTACTCAGGAGGGAGGCAGGAGGATCAGGTATTAAAGGTCATCCTCAGCTACTGAGAAGGTTTGGGGTTAGCCTTAGCTACCAGAGACTCTGTCCCAAAACAATAACAAAAGAAGTGAAGAGAGTATCAGGGAAGGAAGAGCAGGAGGAGGAAGAAAGGGACTAAGGGGAGGGGCAGGAGGGGAAAAAAAAACAGAGCTAAGCACATGGTCCCAGCACTTAGGACACCAAGACAGGTGGATTGTGAGTTCAAGGTAAGTCTAGGCTACGCAGAAAGACTGTCTCAAAACCAAACAACAACCAAACCTCTAGGACACCCCGCCTAAGGGGCCCAGCTACGGGAAGGTGCTTGTCAACTTGAGACCCTGGACTCAATCACTAGTGCTGCAAATAGACAGAAACCCACCCAGCTTCTCTTTCCTTTTTTCTTCCCTGCGCTGGAGAGCAACCCAAATGCTCGCAATGCTGGCAAGTGTCCAGTTTTGGTCTTTGTTTGTTTTGTTTTGTTTTTCAAGACAGGGTTTCTCTGTGTAGCCATGGCTGTCCTGGAACTCTGTACGCAGGCTGGCTGCAAACCCTGAGATCCTCCTACCTCTGCCTCATCTCCTGAGTGCTGGGATTAAAGGCATGCACTGCCACACACACCCCCAAAGTGCCCAGTTTTTAATCCCCAGCATCACATGCTTCCATGCACCCATGCATTCGTGGCTGGGCAGGAGGTGGTGTCACTTCAAGAGCAAGCCTGAGCAGCTGACAGCACTGAGCTCTGGTCTGTAGTGGATGCCTAACACATTTCAAGGGGTCGTGTGAGCTCATGGAAACTGAACATTCACACCGAGCGCTGTCCACACTTCGTGTCGGGTTGCCTGGCAATGGTCGGGATGCAGAACAAAGGTCAGGCCCTTACTTGCTGTCCATCTTGATAGCTGTCTATACTTAACGTCTGTGTAGCCATCATGGTTGATGAGAGTTCACTTCAGACATCAGATCATCTTGAGTCAGAAGTGAGTGGTGTCTAGGAAAACAAAAGCAGAAGAGCACTGGTTAACACTTCCTCGGCATTTCTTGTCTTTTATCCCACAGCATCTGTAATGTCTAAAAACTGTGTATTTCTATACAGAGAGGGGCAACCCCTTAACTCCAAGCCAAATCCGCCCTGGCAGCATTACACTTGCTTAGCCGTCACTCATCTTACTAAGCTGGGCCCCAACCTGCTATTATATGGTCAACCACACTCCTTCATCCCCTCACAAGGAGCCAGAAAATACTGTCACATACAGGATGCTGGGGGGGAGGGGGCAGGACACCAGAAGCACAGGAGTTAGCCTAGAGAGACCCAGCCTTCCTTGAGTGCATGGCAGTGGCGGGCAGAATAGGAGACTAGTAGGAGACACCAAGGGCCCCCACAGGACAGGAGCACGAGGAGGAAGGGAGAGGTATGGAGGTAGACACAAACTACCGACAAACACTGGCAAGTCAATGTCAGGAGTCATGAGGTCCATAAGCAAGGTTGGGATAGAGGCTGACTAGGAGGTAAGTAGAAGTCTGACCAGTGAAGTAGTAGTAGGCTACCTACCACCCCTGTGCAGAAGGAAGCCAGGAGACAAGATGGCTGAACAGAGTGGAGAAGATGGTAGGGATGTGACTGATCAGGTGGGTTTGTGGCTACAATGAGGACAGCAAGTCAGTGGATAGAAACCCACAACAGGTCTGAGCAGTGGGTGACTCATGCTCTGACCACGTGGACACACCAGACTGCAGGGCTGAGGGGCAGAGGAGCCAAGGTGGGGAACCCTAGGCACCAGAGTCAGAGGAGGTGAGCCAGGGACCTGCAGATGAACTAAAGGAGCAGGGATGGGTCCAAGCTTCCCACCTGAGCACCTGGAAGAATAGAGCCGCAGGTCCTGAGGTGAGCAGACAGCTAAGGACAGCTCCTCGGCTTGGGAGGGAGACAAGGCAGGGCATCTCAGGCTGCAGGCGAGTCTCAGATACCTTCTCGGAAACTGAGCAGAGCAGCCTGGGCTGGAATCACTTGGTCATCGTCAGGGTACAGTGGGTACACATGGAGATGAGCTGAGTCCTCACAAGACACGTCCCACTCTAACCCAGCACCTGAACATGGACCAGATGTAGGAACAGGGTCTTACAGATGGCATGACACTAAGGGTCTTGAGATGAAATGCCTCGGGACTTGGGATGGAGCGACTGGCTGTCTATTTAAGAGGAGCGGGGAAGATCTGAGACACACAAAGAGGTTCGCCATGGGAAGATGGAGGCACACACAGTAGGAATACACCCTCAAGCCCAGGAAACCGAAGCAGGATCACCAGAAGCCAGAAGAGGCAAGGACAGATCACAGATCCTTAGATCCTCCAGAGAGAGTGTAGCCCTGTCTACACCTTGATCATGATTTCCAGAACCACAGGAGAACCCATTTCTGGGGGTGGTAAGGATTAAATCCAGGGCCTCACACATGCTAGGTGAGCAATCTACTGTTTAGTATACCCAGTTTGTGGTAATTTGGCACAGTGGCCCTAGTCAAAAATACACATAAATGCACGATGGAAAGCCAACAGACCGGAGGAGACCAAAAGGAAGAGAGAAGATGGTGTGCTAGGGGATAGCTTGGGGGTCATGTCGTGGACACTGCACGACATGAGAAGCAGAACAGAACTGCTTACACACATAAAGGAGGGGAGCCATGGCGGGCGAGTGCCGACCATGTCAGGACGTCCTCAGGATCAGGAAGAGGAGGGCCGGGTCAGCAGCTGGTGAACAGAAGGTCTGTGGGGGAACAAGAACCATGGCCTCAGACTCTGTCGCCGGGAGTGATGGTACTGGCCTGGCACTCTCCTAAGAGCTGTCTGTACGAGGGCATGGGAAAACACTCTCCTAGCAGTGGCACTCTAGACAGCCGCTCCGAAGATGGGAGTGAGTGCAGTGAGAAAACTAAGTTCAGTACTTGTGGTTTTTCTTTTTTGGAGATGGGGTCTCACTATGTAGCTCTCGTTGTCCTAGAATTCACTTTGTAGAACAGGCTGGCCTTGAACTCACAGATTCACCTGCCCCTACTCCCAAGTGCTGGGATTAAAGTCATGCCTCACCCACTATGCCCAGCCTCTGAATTAAAATGTTTAAAACTCTGTTAAATCTTCTAAATCTGTGTGCTCCCCCCACCCAGGACCCCATTCTGGACAGAGACCCACACATCTCCAACTCAATCCAGACATCTCCTAATGGCTTTGTGGTGACTAAACTCTGGTTCTCCTCCAAATCCTGACTTCCCTTCAGTTCTGCTTCCACCTGCCCTTCCGCCCTCAGAACCGGCCCAGCAGTCTCCTCAGACTTCCATCGCCCGTGGCTGCCAGAGCCCAATCCGGCCTTGCTCCAAACCATTCTCCAGGCTTTCTGAAATGCAAATCTGGTCATATGACCAGCCTCATAAGGTGCTTCTACCCAAGCCCATCCTAGGCATCAGCCCACCTCCACCCCTGCTCCCTGGCACCAAGAGTATATACACCCTCCCACCCAACACCTTGTCCCCTCCTCCTGCAGCACTCTCTCCCACCACAGGGCCCCCCTCCCTAGAAGCTCTGCCCACCTCTCTCCCAGTCTGTATGCATGCCTAGCTATGAGTACCTTTATCACCATACCACCTTCCTCCTGGGTCTTGCCTAGGGACCAAGAAGCCCACAGAGAGCCTGGGAAACAATGATCTTCAACCATCAGTAAACTGGAGGAATAAGTCTCTAAAGGGCTGAGATGCTTAAGATATAAAAGTAATTTTAAAGATTAATTTAGTTATTTTAGTGTATGTATGCATTCCTGTGTGAGTTTATGTGCACCATGTAGAGGCCAAAGGATGCTGAATCTCCGGGAACTGGAGTTTCAGGAGGCTGTAAGAAGCCAGTACTGAGGGACAGGGAACTGAATTTGGGTCAAGTGCCCTCAACTACTGAACAATCTCTCCAGCCTTATAAAAAGTTGTTTGTTTGTTTGTTTTGGCTTTTCGAGACAGGGTTTTCTCTGTGTAGCTTTGCGCCTTTCCTGGAACTCACTTGGTAGCCCAGGCTGGCCTTGAACTCACAGAGATCCACCTGCCTCTGCCTCCTGAGTGCTGGGATTAAAGGCATGTGCCACCACCGCCCGGCAGTTTGTTTATTTTTGAGACAGAGTCTCTCTATATACCTGACTGTCCTGGAACCCATTATGTAGACCAGGCTGGCCTAGAACACACAGAGAAGCCTGACTCTGCTTCTGAGTATTGGGATTAAGGGCATTTGCCACCATGCCAGTCCTCTTAAAAAAGTATTTTAAATGCCACCACACCCAGCCTTTTTTTATTTTTGTTTTTGTTTTTTCAAGACAGGGTGTAGCTTTGGAGCCTGTCCTGGAACTCACTCTCTAGACCAGGCTGGCCTCAAACTCAGAGATCCACCTGCCTCTGCCTCCCAATGCTGGAATTAAAAGCATGTGCCACCACTGCCAGGCCACACCTAGCCTCTTATAAAAGTATTTTAAACAATTTGCATTCAAACAATAGCTAAACTAAGGAGCCATTGGACTCCCTTACATAGATAATCTCCTTCCCTGGCCATGCTGAGTGGAAAGGAACTCTGCTGTGAATGCCACTAAGGCACATCTTCCAGGGTAGCAACAGTCTATGGATGGTTCAACATCAAAATCAGGTCAGTCTAGAAGTGACTGTGTCACAGACTCAGTGCTGGTCCTGTACTGCTTCCAGACAGCTCTCACAGAACACTTCCCATGCAAGCACCTGGAGGGAAGGTAATGTACCACAAAGGTGCCGCCCTGTAGGAGATAGTTTTCCCAGTCTCACTGAGGAGCCTTCCTGGGCAAATCTGGCTAAAGATGATGGCCAATGAACACACCTGGGAAGCCAGGGTCAGTGTAGCAACCCAGAGATTTAGAGTTTCCATGCCCGTGTTCCAGAACAGAGTACTGGGGACCCTCCCAAAGCAAATGCCACAGTCCCAGAACACAGCAAGTGCGCTTCTGATTGCACTCGGTGACACATCCAGATCAGACAGAAACGGTAGCACATGGGGAGCTTTGTGAGTTCCAGGCCAGCCAGAAGGTACACAGTGAAACCTCATTTCAAAAAACAAACCCAAAACAACAAAACCTACAAAGAACATCAAAATAATCTGCTGGGCATTAAAGCTGTGCTATGGTCTGAATGTGTTCTTCAAAAGTTCTCATGCTAGGGAGCTAGAGAGATGGTTCAGTGGTTAAGAGCACTGGATATTCTTCCAAAGAACCTGGATTTAGCCCCCAGCACCCATATGGAGGCTCAGAGCCACCTGTCACTCCAGGTTCAGGATTCAATATTCTCTTCTGGCCTCCACAGGTACCAAGTACATAAGTGATGCACATTCAGGCAAAATACCCATATCCATAAAATAAAATAAATAAGGGTTGGAGAGATGGCTAGTTAAGAGCCCTGTCTGCTCTTCCAGAGGACCAGGTTCAATTCCCAGCCCCCATATGGCAGTTCACAATCATTCATAACTCTAATTCCAGGGAATCTAATGCCTTCTTCTAGCCCCCTTGGGCACTGCAGGTATTTAGTGCACATGCATATATGTAAGACACTCATACACATAAAATAACATTTAAAAATAAATAAATCTAGTCAGGTGTGGTGGCATTTGCCTTTAATACCAGCATTTGGGAGGCAGAGGCAGACAGATCTCTGTGAGTTTGAGGCCAGCCTGGTCTACAGAGTGAGTTCTAGAACAGCCAGGGCCATATAGAGAGACCCTGTCACCAAAAAACTAAAGCCAAAAATAAAGAAATAAATCTAAAAAAAAATGTTTAAGTTCATGGGCTAAAATTTAACACCCAGTTCCTATTAATGTTATTTGGAGGTGGGTCTTTGAGAAGTAATCAGTTTCATATAAAGTCATGAGGGTAGAGACATATAATAGCTTTACTGACTCTACAAAAAAAAAAAAAAAGAAAAAGAAAAAAAACATTCATTGGGCCTGTGACAGTAACTTCAATAAATAATATTTTTGTTTGTTTTTTCAAAATAGAGTCTTACTATGTAGCTCTGGCTGTTCTGGAACTCATTATGTAGACCAGGCTGGCCTTGAACTCACGGAGACCCACTTGCCTCTGCCTCCCAACTGCTGGGGTTAAAAGGCATGGACCACCACGCGTAGCTCTATCAAGTAATATTTTCATTACTTAAAATCATTTAAAATTCACAGCAAGGGTCTGGGGGGTTTAGCTTAGTGGTAGAACACATGCTTAGCATGTGCAAGTCTGCAGGCATGCTGAGGCCCCGGATTCAGTCCCCAGAATCAAAACCAAACTAACCCCAAAGCAGTGTGGATGAGTCTACAGCAGCCTGTGAGTGGAAAAGGCAGGGATGCAGCCTGCATGCACTTCACTGCACCATTTATCCATCTGTGCATTTACTGGGGAAGGAAGGTTGTTCTCCTTGCTGGGATCTGCCTTGAGTGCAGGGATGGATCAGTAAACAAAGTCGCTACCATACAGAAATCACTTTATAACAACTGTTGTAACAGATTTGTGAGTGACTTAGGGAGGACAGGGTCTTTAAATACCGAGTCAGCCACTCAAAGAGCACAGGATCCTCTGTTGTCTCAGTTCTTCATCTCTATCCGGTACTAAGTTTAATGTCTTCTTGTAGAGGTCTTCTGTGTCCTTCACTGGATGTGGCCCCAAAGCAGCCTATGGTTTCCCTGCAGCTGCTGCACACATTTAACTGCACTTCTTGCTGCTGGATGCTGATGGACAAAGCATCACTGTGCAGTCTGACCTTGGATCTGCTGTTAGTGGACTCCTTTGACTCTATGGTTTATGCAGATTCCATGGGTTTTCTCCATAAATGTTATTGTAAGCCATGCAGATACAATCCCAAGGAAAATCTGTTTTGAGATACTCCAACTACACTCAATGTAAAGGAAGAGTAACAGCAATCCACAAATAGCTAAACTACTCTTTAAAAAGCTAAATGCAGCCGGGCTGTGGTGG